TGTAGCTTTGCGCGAAATTCAAAAACAAAACAAAACAATAGAAATATTAATGTAACTTTACCTAGATAATGATAGCTTCATCAAACAGTTACGCCTTCAGTGCTTTATTAAACACAACTGAAGTTTAGTTTACCCGGTTGGAGTATTATTAAATTCATACGCCTGCAACTTACAAGCAAGTCTCCATAGTTTAAAAATATACGTTCGGGATATTTATATGTGCTTTTCATAACCACTTTAAGAGTAGGTATTATTATTATTATTTTACATTTTCATCCCCTAACGTCATCAATTTATTTTAGTAAGATGGCGAGCATACTACTATGGTCTCAACGATTAGTTTACCATACATCAACGTTTACCAAAGCGAGAATACCCATGAGGTAGTTATTCAACACTATCAATTAAGTATTGTGAAATAATGAAGTCGTAATAACTTAACGTTAATTTCAAAATGAAGAGTAATTATTCACAAAGGAAAAAGTTGACGAAGTGAACAGTAAGTACTTGCTTCGGCAGTACACATATATATTAAAGTTAATATTAATATTATCACTAGTAATGATAAACTGGTCATTCATAATTACTAAGAACTGTGTAATATTAATAGTTTTTACTGATACTATAAAAGTATGTTAGCAATAACAGCATTACTAATAAATTTATATCTCAATGTTAGAATCGATAAGAAATGATAGTTTATTAAATATTGTTAGTACTAGTAGTAAAGACTTGGTTTGTCACATTAACACTAAAAGATTTGTAATTTGATTCTTAAAGTTGGACTTAGAGAAAAACTGACACTGCCTTCTCTTTACCCTTAGACTCCAGCAAATTGAACATGAATATAATTGTGTAATGTTATTACACAGGCCTTAAAATAGTTATTTTAAAGACAGTTCTACAAATGTTATGTCTCTTGTGTCATTTATCATGTGAGCTGGTACTTTCAAAGGTTAGATGAAAAATAAATAATATCAGTGGTGAAAATAATATAAGATTTACATTAACTAATTGAGTTGTTGTAAAAAATTACCAAAAAAGATAGTAAAAATTAAAATATCTATACTTCCCTAAAGTTGATATATAACATTTTGGGCTAGTACCATTCTTCGAAAAGTTGGTATGGTTAATAAGTAGTTCTTTAACAATGTAGAATGTTTAACACCATTTTTATGTTGATAGGCCTTGTGTGTATTATACAAGTAAAGCAAAAACATTTCAAAAAAGGAAATAAATGTAGGGATGGCATTTGCACCTACATAATAGCACAGGCACACAGTGTAGTAGAATGTTAACAGACAAAATAGGATAAGTTAAACTTAATTGTGATTGAATAGTTATACATATTGCTATATGATAATTCATGCCTGTTCTATTATGTAGGGATGATGCAAATGTCATTCCTACCAACTTGTTTTTGAAGGATTGATATTAGCCATCCCCACATTTACTTCCTTTTTTGAAAAGTTTTCTTTACTTTTTCTTTTAATGCAGTAACATAGGAAGGTTGTATTTATAACCAAGTTTTAAATACTTTGAGGTTCCAACTGTAATATTTATTGTTTATCTATTATTGTCTGATAATTCCTGTTTCACCCTGTACTTAAGCTTTTTAAAGGAACACCAAATTTCTGTAAGAAAGCTAACTTAAAGCGTAATGGTAACATTGTTTACAGTAATTTTTTTTTAATTACTACTAGTTAATAATAATACTTATAAAGCAGATACTCGTTTTGAAACTGTGTCACCTCAGTGAAATTGGTTAACACCACTGCTTTGGTTTTTGAGTTACCATGTAATAAAAAAAAAAGAAAGAACAACAAGATATTCAGACATTCCCAGAACTTGTGACTCAGTCATTACATATAAATTGTTATATAAGGAAACACTGTAAAATATTGTACAGTTCTGATGACCTATTGAAGAGATATTTAAAATACCATTTCGATGAACAATCCCTACATAGGCAGCGCTACTGCCTTCATGATTAGAATATTCCATTAAACAGGAGCTTTACCTAGAGAAAAGTGTGTGACATTTTGTTGTAATGTTTCAAAGTGCAATGAAAAATTGATGGAGCTATAGTTTTAGTTAAAAATGGAATAACAATGAGTAAATTATTTCATTATTAACTGGTTTTGGTATATACGCTTTGTATAACAGTATTATGTGTGTGTTTGTGCAGTTCACGTACACATTGTATGTGCTTATGATAACTAACTTACACAATATTCACTAATATAGCATTAGTGTGGTAGCTTAGTTTATTCAGTGCATTAACTTAGGTACGTACCTAACTTTGACATGTGATTACCAATAACATTTTATATTTCAATTTTATTGTTATCAGGATCTCAGAAATATTACATTGTTAAAATTTTACTACATTAAAAATAATAATAAACTTCAGAAATTACCATTATTAAGTGAGAAAAAAAATGTAATTACAAGTTTTGCAATATTAAATATTGTAGTAGCATTAGGATTTAATTGTTGTATTTATACATCATCTAACCTATATAAAAGCCAGTGTGTGTCATGTCATATATGATTTCTCAAAATAGGAGTCATAAAAGTCAAAATGCATTTATCCATATAGAATAGTTAAATTACGATTTTAGTGATAGGGGGTGCAAGGAGGCCATGGGGGAGTGCTGTGAAACCTTATAAATGTAGTGGGTGTTGGTAAAGACATAGTGTGGTTCACCTAGCCTAGAGTAAAGTGCATAAAATTTACCATAAAAGTAAAAATATCATTTCTGAATTAAGCTATTTTCTTATATCACAAACATTTTAAATAAAAAACAAACCTCTTTAATCAATGGAGTCTGAATTAAGAAATCAACAAATATTTTTTACATTTCATTTTATACTTTCAGTATGTAGACTAACAACATTATGATATATTTTTGTTGCTAAGCAACATAACATGAAAGCCAATGTTGGAACATAGTGTTACCAAAATGCACTGCCTTTTCTGTATTTTAGAAATTGTTAATCTACCTGATTTTTACCAATAATTATTCTATGAGTGCACCACGAATTCATTTCATGTATAATCCTAATATTGATTGGCTCACAAAGGAACGTACTGATTTATTGAATTATTTGACTCAATTAAAGATCAATATATTTCTTCAGATTGTAGCTGGTGAAGTCAAAGTTAATGTTTTTGAATATTTAGCATGTTACTTCCATATCAAAACAATGTATACTCAGATCTTTACTTTACCAGCAACTTTTATAGTTTTCTTAGAACTATATCTAAGTGTAATTATTTGCTTCTTTTACTTTCATTCGTTGGTATGTATATTAATTTTGTTTGAAGTTAATGATTTTCAAATTATAAATTTAGACTTGAATAACTTTTTCCACAAATATGATGATTTTCTTTTACATTTTAGCCACTTTATAATAGAAATTATGTAATTAAAAATAAATGCAAATTCATGATAATTTGTATGATGTAGTAAGTATTTTATGTAACAAGCAAAATTATCACAGAATGAGGAGAGAGTTTTTGAAGTGAGATTTTAGTTTTAACAGGTGTACCTTTTATAAAATAAAAATTAAGTTGTTTTGAGTTAATAAGAATTTTATATGTAATTTATGTCAGTCTGTTGGTTACAGGGGCTGTAATAAGATATGTGTAGGACAAAAATACCATAATAGTAAAATTAATTATACTAATTACTTCGGATTTTCCTGCATATTTTAGACAGAAAACGAGTGATTTTGACACTGAGTTATAATAGGTAAAAATAAAGTTACCAAAGGTGATGGACCTCACCGGTAGTGAACAAGATAGTAATCCGAGGGTACAAAGTGTGAAATGTGGTTATATGAGGTATCTTCTTTTAACTTAAAAGACCTGCAACCTTCACAAATGTTAGTAATACTGGCATGTGTATCTGAAGGTACAAGTTTTCCACCTGTTACTAAAAGATGATTCACCATGTCAGAAATACATAGTAATTAATACATTTACATACATGATTTTAAGAATAAACAATATTTTTCTTTCTAAGTCTCAAAGTTACAATACTGTCTAAGTATGCTTTTTTGTTCTAATGTAATCCCGCTGATTAGAAAAACAGTTAGTATCTTATATGCAGTTAATTTTTGTTAAAGGGGAAGAGAATTACATAAAACCTGCAAATCATTATGATGAATTTGTGAATTAAAAGTTGCCATGTTTTTTTTCTTACAAAGTTATAGTTGTCAAACACTTCCATAGATATTTTGAAAATTTTGTCAACTATCTTTGGAGTTTATAATGTTTTGTCATTTTAAGCTGATTAGTGTTTATACGAATTTTTTAGTCAGTTACAATATTTTTTTTTATTCAGGTATGTCTGAAACCATCAGATTAAGATTGCTAAGAGTCTATACATAGTTTGTTAACCCAGTTAAATAAAGATCAAACTATGAATGACACAAAGATTTGTTATTTTTAGGACAGTAGGTTTATAATAATTTTACTTAAAAATTAAAGTTCTCAGCCTAGTTTTGTATTAATGTATGTAGAATACGTGTACAAGAACCATTTTAAGATATATTACTTTGTAATACAAATATCTTGACATGAAGTTTAGAAATCCATATGTCGGGATAACTGGATGAAAATGGCACACCTCCAATCATTTGGTTGTTATGAAAAGATAGGGATGTCTATGTTGGCCTACTAAATCTCAGGATCATGGAAGTAACTCCATTTAATTCTTAAATGCTTCCACAGAAAATACTTTTGTTACATATTTTCTAAATTATGCAAAATATTAAGTTGACCTGTAGGCTTGATGACACATATTGGAAAATATTTACACCACCATATAAAATAAAAACTTTGTTGGAAAAGCCACCAAAATGAGTTGTTTTTTTTAGTTACTAGATAAATGTTTACAAAAGTCGGAGAAAGTACTGCTTGTTGATGTATAATTCAGTCACAGCAAAAATTCATGTAGCTTAGTTTGTATCTGCTGATTAATATTCAAACATTTCTTCACAGATTTGGGAGTTAAGTGATTAACCATTTGGCATAAATTTTAATTTTGAGTTTTTTCTCCACCCAGTTCATGTAAATTGAAATTTTACCTTGTGAACTGTTTTATTTAAATACTACACTTCATAACCAGTGACGAAAATATTAGATACTGGTGCAAATTGATTCCTTTGTAATGCTTCTAGACAAAAGGCATTATGCATTGTTGAGAATACAAAAAATAAAGTAAATGCTATACTAACATTCCTGAAGTCTAGTGATAGTATAATATCAGAAACCTTATAGCTTGAAATCAAAAATATTAATTAAGCTAAAAAGTTACAATGTCACTCATGTTCTACTTGTCCCAGTATTTAAAACCAAGATTAGTACTACATATTAAGCAATTTAAAATGTCAAAACTTTTATATACTGTTAATGTTATGTCACAGGTTCTTTCGGTCATCAGGAAAGACATGGAAAACTGAGGCTGATGAAAATACAGATGAACCCATACAATATTCAACAAGCAAAGCTGCAAAATGGAAAGCTAGAGACACTTATGGTGGACAAAGAGATATTCCAGATTGTCAGCCTCTTGTTGTTACTTTGAGTGTTGCAGTTTTTATGATTTACTTTTGTATTCTTAGAGAAGAGAATGACATAGATGAACAAATGAAGAAAAGCATATTTGAAAAAATACCAACACTTAAGAATACTCCATTTGAAAAACCAGATTAAAATAAACAAACAGTAGAAATATTGTTGTTATTATTGACTTAGCTAATCAGGTGTGTGTGAAGATGAAATCATAAAACAACTAAGTTATTTTATAGAATGCAACATTTATTAATGAAATAAAAATAGGGTAATGAATTAGTTACATTTTGTATGTGTTTGTGTATCTGATTACATGTTAATTTGTATTCTGTGTAACAAACTACAAACATTGAAGGAAGACAACAGTTTGGCAGTGAAATAAAAATGCTGCTTCCATCAACAAACAGTGTAATTACAGCATCTATTAAATGGGTAATAGTTATATTTAAGGCAAGAGTTGAGGTGTATATTTGATATGCTTGACTGTTATGAACCACAACAGTTATGATGGTTATACATTATTTTTGAATAAATGAAAGGTGTTTTGACAAATTACTGAAAAATACGTCCTCAATATCCCCCAATATATGATCAGCACTTTCATGAACTTCAAATTAAATTATTGTACAAAACTACATCAGCCTTATACATACATAATCACAATTTTCACAAACTGGATGCTTGATTAAAATTTACAACTTTTAGTAAGTCATGCATGAAGAAGAATGCTACATTTTACAACAAAGAAACACAGCAATGACATCACACATAAAGTACAGTGAAATCGGTCTGCCACCTCAAGCAGAAAGTTACAAATAGGGGTGCACTGATATCAATAAGCTACTGGCCCAACACCTATATAAGAAAAAATTACACTTTTTTATTGGCTATCTGCTGTTTTTGTTGTAGTCAATAATGTACACCAATATTTTTGCTTGTTGTCATGTAAAATGTTGTGGTGCTCAGTGCTTGAATTTCATGTGTTTTTTTACATAACAACCAAAGTGGCCATCATTACACAGCCATACATTTTTTACCAAGGCCAGTTTTAATGGTGTCAAGTATTTTGAATACCTATCTTCATAATATTATGCCTTTTATAACAGCATAGTAATGTTTACAGATGTTTCTTAAAATTATAAGCCTTTGGATATTAACTGAAAGCAACTCTCCAATAAGGAAATTTTTACAGATGTATCTAATTTTATTTTTTCACATCATACTTCAAAAGTGAAATGAATGTGAATAATAATTAGACTTGACTTCTAATTTGATATCTCTATCTACAAAAAACATCAGCATGGTTGTGGCTGATACAGGCAGCACATGAAGTCTGAGGTTGTATTTTGAAATTAAAAATAGTGTTTTGTCCTCTGAAGTGACAAAGCTGTTAGGCTGAATTTTGTAAAATAAGTTTAACAGTTTTATGCAGATTTTTTTTGTGGCAAAGTTAATAATTATGTTTCTACTACAAAATAATGTAAGTTATGTATGTGTGCAAATTCATCTTAAGTTTCTATGAACACTAAGGCAAAATATCTTTTAAACTTTTTCAATCCATTGTACTTTTTATTCATTTTTTGAACTAAATGTACAAACTAATATTTATGAATTTTAATGTTTCAGTAATTTAAATTACTTTACCTGCAATAATTCTAAATATTGGTATCTGCCGACATGATTCGATAATTAATCAGCTATTCGTATTAGCCAAGAAAATCTTAATCAGTGCACTCCTAGTTACAGACCCACAACATACAAAATGATTTGATATCACGAATGTTTAAAATCGAGAAATAATCCAGTTAGTCAAATATCTGCTGGTTAAAAACTGTGAACATGTAGATATTTTATTTTTCAATACCATAAACCAAAGTACACTTATGCCCGTTCTCCACGGATTCTTCTTGCCAACTGAATGTCCTTGGGCATGATGGTAACACGTTTTGCATGAATAGCACATAAATTGGTGTCTTCAAATAAACCTACAAGGTATGCTTCACTGGCTTCCTACACAGAAAACAACTATGTAACATTAATATCAACAGTTTGTTTATACAAACATATTTTACAATACAGTTAATTAACATTGAAATTTAAACAGTACATGTGGAAAATGTTTATTAGCATTGAAGCTGTCTAAAAAGTTAACTTTTTGTTGTAGAAGAAAGCAGATTTTCCCCATTCATGTTAGTAGTTTTATTTTGTTATACAGTAAATTTCTAATGAAGAACTTATTTCTTCCTTGATATGTAAAAATACACATGTTGGACAAAAAATTAGAAGCACTCAGTAGAGTAGAATATTGATGTGTTGTTCCACTTTTGGGCATTATAACTACTTCAATTCATTATATTGGGGGTATCTTCAAGTTCCATTTATGCTGAGGAATTAGGTCCCATTCCTCAAGGACAATTTAATATAAAGAAAGAGCTCTCATTAGCTAATAATCTCCCAACCACCGTTAAATTTACTCAGTGAGCCTTATGGGATAATTATCATGCTGTAATAATCTTTTATGTTGTTCCTTTTGCAAAGCTAAGAACTTATGCATTTGAGTCACTAAAGCACCTGTTAATTGGATTCATATAATCTATCCAGACTGTCTGTTTTGGAAGTCAGTGAAGTTGCATTTCTTGTCCTTTCTTAAATAGAACTTAAATATGTTTAAATAATACCTATCACCTATCTAATATATTAGTTGTCAGAATAAAACAAGTCAACTAAGAATTTAGTCTATTTAACATATGGGAAAAAATTGATACTTTAACCTTTCCATTATGTTATGGATGTATATGAATCGGCACATGGCTTCCACAAAGTCAAGATACAATTATCTATACCTTTGAGTTTATTACACGAGAGTTAACAATTTCTAATGTTTAACATAAGAATAAAAGCTATGAAAAGAAAAATACTTTATCAATTCAAGGCTTTCTAATTTGTTTAAAATTTCATCTGTTCAATATGACTAACAGACTTACCTAAATTCTCAATGATTAAAGGATGGTTAAACAGGTATTTTTATATTTTTTGTCCAACCTCTATAAATACACCCTTCGAACCTGAAACATCTTGCAAGTGTGTGGTTTATATCTTATCACTCTATAATATAAAATACATGCAACAAAAACTATTTTCCTCTGACATGATACAGTCTTGAATTCTGGCATTTGTTGGGCTTTGTTTCTTCTGTATATTGGATTCTATAAACATCATGTTAGATTTGCTATGCACCAACTATGATCACAATGTCTTAGCTGCTAAAGCCTGTCCTAATTTTATGCTGCTTGAATTTTTTATATACTTTCAAAAGGCTTTTGACATAACACAGCAGTCATAAAAGATTTTAATGGTAATATATGGCACCATCCCATCATGTCATGGAAGATCATAAAATAAGATGGAATAATATTAAAAGTAATAGGAATATGAACCAAGCATGAGAAAAAAAAACTGATAATACATTCAGTGTACTTTAAAAGTCAGCAAAGCTTGAAAACTATGCTTCATAAGATACAATTTAATTGATTCATATCCCAGGATAAGTGGATTCGCATTCTAACAAGAAAAAAACAAAACCAAACTTATACTACCTCAAACAGTTATTCTCAGGTCACTGTTGAAAACTGCAGCAGATTAACAGATGAAACATGTCTATAAATTTATTGGCAATTAGTATCTAATGAGACTAGTAATTAGAATTAGTTGATCATACAGGCTACTAACCATGAGAACAACTGATATAATTTGCTAATACAGGAGTATGGGCCAGTAATATGTTTCTGGACCAACATTACAATTTGCTCAATGGAAATAGCTTAGAAGCAGTTAGTTTCAAAATTATAACAGCACAATGACTAAAATGTTTGCCTTACAAGACATAAGCTAACTTTGTATTCTCAAATAAACTGAACAAAAATCAAAATGACAGGAACTTTCTTTGGACCAACCACCATTTTCTGTAATTCACATCCTTTTTAGAACTCATTTCCATAAGTTTTATAATGGAATACTATTGTCATTCTAATGTGGTTATTTTAGTGCAAAGCTACACAATGGGTTATCTCTGCACTGTCCACCTTGGGTAATCAAGCCTCTGATTCTAGAATTTTAAATCTGTAAACTTACCGATGGGAGGTTCACTAACAACCTCTATACATGCCATAAACTATCTTTTCTTGTCACTACTTAGGCTGTTACTGACCAGTCATTGTGCAGTTTATTTAGAACCAATATTTTACTTCCAAGGAATAATCTCATCCTCTACTACATAAAAAAGCTATTGTTATATCAAAATCTGATCTCTATGGAGACAGGATGAACATTTCAAACTCCTTCAATGTTGCATCTTCTATCATAAGGCAGACCATTCCTTAGACCAAGTATTTTATTAGAAACTTGATTTTCCAATACAGTGTCTTACTGTTTGGAATTTTTTTAATGCCTAGATTTATGGATTACAACCATTTAATAATCATAAAAATTTCAATAACTTTCTCTGAGCTCTTTTCTTTAGCAAATATATGCCAAAATTTCAACATATACCTCATATAATAATCTCTCCAGATTTGGAAACATCCTAGTAACTTTTCTCTGGCATACCCAACAATTCAACATCATTTCTTAAAACTAAAAATTCTGTACAGTGCCTAATTGAGTGAACTGATGATCCCCTTTAACCATGAACTCTGTTTCTAATTATACAACCTAAAATCTCATTTACTTTATAACTAGCTAATGTACATTGTACAAAAGGCTTTTGAAACTTCACAACAGCTATACCTAGGGCTTGCTAAATTGTGGGTGCCAAGTCACAAGAAGTGACCTGGAATCTGGGAATTTTTAAGTGAATTTTTCATTAAAAAATTAGATGTGCTTTCTGAATTTCTAATGAATACTTAAATAATGTAAAGGAACTCCAAACTGACAAAACTCTGTAGGGACGTAGATTTTGGATGTATGTCTGCCAGCCAATAAACACATCAGTAAGTAGGTTCTCAGTTATCAATGAGAAGGCTGAGGCCATAGGTGCTGCATGTTACCATGGGCTTTACATGATTTGACACTGCATAGATTCCAACCGATTCATCTTTAAATTGCACAACTTAAACAAAATTGATCACAAATTAATAATTAAGTTACTTACCTGTAATGCACCAATTGCAGCACTCTGAAACCTTAAGTCAGTTTTAAAATCCTGAGCAATTTCTCTTACAAGACGTTGGAATGGTAACTTCCTAATCAACAACTCTGTAGATTTTTGGTATCGCCGGATTTCACGCAAGGCAACAGTACCTGGCCTGTAACGATGAGGCTTCTTAACACCACCGGTAGATGGTGCACTCTTACGTGCTGCTTTGGTGGCCAACTGCTTCCGAGGAGCTTTACCACCAGTTGATTTCCGAGCAGTCTGCTTTGTTCGAGCCATGACTCAATGATCTGAAGATATTATAAAATAATAATTTTGGTCAGTATAAAAGAGTTGTATGTAACACTTCAAAAAAATCATTAAAAAACTAACTATGCAATTGGATGCATTATAGTTTGTGTACATATGTGCTAATTTTTTTTTTGTCATTGATTCACTTGCTTCCTAATGGACCAACCACTATTTTCTGCAATTCACAACCTTTTTGGACCTCATTTTTACAAGCTTTGTATTAGAATACTATTGTCTTTCTAATGTGGTTGTTTTAGTTCAAAGCTAAAATATATAAGCTTATATTTTTTGAATTGAATTTTTTCTAAGTAAAAACTTGTCTTAGAAAACATTTTACATGAAAGTACAAACAATTAATCAGAAATATAAGAAACTTAGTTGTGAAATTTCATTAGTCCAGACGACAATCCGCATAACTTTTCGTAGACAAATCTTTACAAGGAAAAACTATGTCAGTAATGCATATATATGTGTTCCAAAGCCAAACAGCTATTTCTCATCTAATCAAAAACAACTTAGGTGTGAAAAAAAGGTAGAGCCAAAAAAGGATTGAGCATGCAACTTCAAGGAATGAAATCAAAATTGGTGGTCAAACTGGCAGCTACACTTATAGCACTGATAAAAATTTTTGTAGTAAATATTTATTCATTAGTTAGCCAGACCACGTTTTGTGTTCAACTTGAGGCATGATTGTGGGTAAAACAAAATACATGGCCTAGCTGGCTACAAAATTCTACATGTACATGTATCACTAGTAATCTATATATTTACAAAGCCAAACTTTTCATCTGATGTCACAATTTATTGTGAAAAACTTACTCAACCAAGTTCAAGGAAATATTACAAAAAAACTACCCCCCCCCCTCTCAGAGATCAAGCTTTAATGGATAAGCAACTAGATGAACAATTAAAGTTTAGTAGTGGTTTAGCTTTTACAATCTTACTGCCACAAATGAGGTTGTAACTGAATTTTTTTAACCAGGCATTACAAAACTATTATAATATGATTATTACACTGTTACCATAGTATTACAGGTTATGTTTTGATTGACTTTGAAAGAAATATATGATGAGTTTTCCCCATACTGAAATGATGCTGGCATTTGATTCATGTTTCAGAAAGTAAAGTATTAGCTAAAAAGGTTTATGTTACATTGGAAAGAAAAGAAATGGTGGAATGCTAGTTAGTAGTTTATAATTTTTACTGTTTTTTGGCTTCAGTCTTCATACCTATCAGCAACATGGGTAATCAATTCAATATTAAGTTCTAGGCACTGAATATGAATTTCATGCTGCCTCGTGATAATTGTTAACTTAACACAAGTTACATCCTTTCAAAATGAAATCATAGAACATATTTTGTGCCATAAACTAAATTAACCCTTTATGGCTAAGCAGTACCAAGTTATTTATACAACTTCCTTTATATTTGCCATCAGTCATCTAATGTTTACAACAGCCATGATAACTAAAAGTAGAGAACAAAAATCTCGAGATTATGAATGGGCATCCAACATTTATTTTCATTCAGGAAGGGAGGAGGTACATTAATGTTATTTAACTTTCTTTCTAATGTAATATAATACAAGTTTTGTTTGTAATGCATATTACAAATATAGTGATTTAGCAATATTTCTCTAAAATAAAGTATCCCCTATTTACAAAAATTGGGCAAATCGTCACAGTATAACAAGTATTTATGCCAAGATTTCTGATCTAAATTGATGTCAAGCAAACTGCAAGTAACATTAACAAACTTTAATTTTAGACATTTTACAAGAATAACCAAGAGAAATTAGTATTACACTATTACCATAGTATTACAACTATTTACCCACTAATGGCACTGTGCTGTTACTATGTTTTTACTGGAGTTCAGTCTCAACTATCTTCAGCACTTCTTTCCATTTTTCAAAATAACACACAAAACGCACGTTCAATGATGTCAGAACTATATCACATTAAACATGCGCTAATACTTTTGCTTACGTCGAAATATACAAGACTGACCGAATTTCAAGCTTTAAGGGCCACCTGACACACATTTTATGTCCTAGTTGTTATGGAACTAACTCGTAATAAGTTGCAGTCATATCAGGAAAATCCCAGTTTAAAATTTATAGTAAAAAATGCCTTTACAAATTACAGTTAAGTTTACTGGCATAATAAAATATTTTTTGTTCTTATGTTGTTAATAGTTTGCAGGTACCTTCCCTAACATGTAATAAATACTCATCAACATTAAAACTTAAACCCTTTCGTCCTAATCCAAAATCAACTCGTATGTTCGAGTTGGTGTTACTAACTGTTAGTGTTAGTAAGATAATGCACCGTTTTTTAAAAGTTTGAATTCAATTTAAGGTACAGTAACACTAACAGTCAATAATACTAATAGCAGTACTGACACACGTTTACCGCAAAAAGGAATACAGCAGCATTAAAAGGCTCAAGTACAGCATTAAAAGTAGAAGTAACCTATATGAAACTATGCCTAACCTCTACAACAACGCGTTTCATTACGAGTATTATAAAACGAGTACACAACTCTTACTTACCGTTTCACCCCAAATTCGACTTACACAGTCACACTCGTAGTGAAGGTGTGAAAGTCAATTTATACTTGCAGTTGCAATTCTTCGGATGACGTAATACTTCTGTTATCTGAGAATGTATGTAAAGAAATATACGGTAGAATGTCGAAATAACTTCTATCAGAATTTTATCAAAATCGTTCTTCATTATACAAAACTAACATATAAATAAATATTTCATTGTTTTCTTTTAATAACAAAGAAATGAAATCTAAATATAATTATTATATATTAATTTTTCAAAATAAGGTTTGTTTTTGCAACAGTTATTTCTACTACATCGCATTTTTTTTATATATTTTTTTTTCTTTCCTTATATTTATTCTTCATTATTTGAAACTTTGTTCCTTTTTTAAAAATCATACGTCTTAATTCTGGCAAACTTCTATTTTCCTATCGCCCTATCCCAAAAAGTGGAAAATGTGTTTATGTGGCCATTATTTCAGTGTTGTAAAATCAATCTCCACTGGCAGCTTGTTTTTGAAATTATTAGGACATTTATTTAATTATGAGTAGTTGTTTATTAATAACTACTGTTATTTAGGCAGACAAACTTCTGTATATAATCATTCCATTACTAGTACATAAATATATTTAT